TATATATATATATATATATATATATATGAAGATATATGGAAAATAGGGAAGGAACTGGTTAGGTAAATAGTCCAAAGTTCCTTAGTATTTTAGTTATTATTTTAAAAATAGTGCTCGATACAAAAGTAGAGCATAAATATAATTATTTATTTAAAAATATGATTCCAAATCGCTACATAAGAGGTCTCATGTTTCAAAACAAGAGCCGAAAACTTTGATATAATCCTTTAAATTAAATTGAGTTGAAATTAAAAAGGGCTCCGTTCCATCTTCAAGCGAAATTTTTGTTGGAATAACGTATATCTGAAATTTACTTGTTTTAAAAATTGAAATCAAAATCACCATGGTAACAGCTAGGGCGAATTGTCTAAAATGGGTAGGCGAGTGTAGGGTGTTTATAATAAGTAGCGGTATAGAGATACTTTCAAGGTGTCAAGTCGGGGAAAGGTGGGGGTGTCAAAAATGAAACGAAGATGTATTAAGCTTTCGTCAAGTTGGCTTGTCTATGGAGATTTATTTATTTATTTTATTTTATTTTATTATGAAAGGGAATTGTGCATATAAAAAGAAAGACTTTCGTAACGTTTGTTTTTTGACGACTTCATAAAGGGTTATCTTTTATGTAAGGTGTTTAAACTACTAATTTGGGCTATGGATTATGAAGGGTGTTATGTTGTATGCAAGTTTGTAGTTAATAATTTCTACTATGAATCTGATGATTGGATTATTTGTTAAACAATTTATATAAATTTTTTTTATTTCAAACCAAAAATCTGATGATGCCTACAAAAAACCGTAACTCGTGTCTATTATTTAATAGATTATTATTATTCAGGAGTTTAATAATGTGCAATTTTTCATGGAGGCACAAAGGGCTTGGGTCATCCCAAGCTTTACATATTCTAGCCTTGTCAATAATTTTCCATTTAACTTTTGGTGTCTTATTTGTTTCCTTCAAGTGCCAAAAATATTTTGATAGTGAAGTCTGGTTTCTTTTGTTTATATTATTAAAGGAGCACTTATGCTGCCTCCATCTATCTTTAAAATTATTCTTCGTGGACCCAATGTATATCATATTAGTGCTAGGGCTCTCTGTGGATGAAATAGTGCATTGGTATACCACAGAATTAATACATTTATTTTCTAATGGGCAGTCTTCTGGGTTTCTACAGTTACATAATTTTTCCCTATTATCATCTGATTTTAGTGTAGAGATTTTATTAATACTGTTTTGGCATGGGGGTTTGTTCAAGATCTTATTATTGTGTTTTTTTATTATGCGTTCAAGATTATCAGAGCAGCTGTAGCTCAATTTTAGGGTGTTCTTATTGAATATATTACTAAGCTTTACTATTGGTGGGGAAGTGTTTATTAATTAGAGCTAAGAATTTCTGTCCTAGTTTAATACTAACCCTTTGGTTGAACGGAGGGGTGTACCATATGATATTTCTTTTCCTGTTTTTTTTCCCATGTCCAGTGCAATTTTCTTTTGTAGTTAATGTTAGCATTTTTATAACCACTATTTTTTAGGGCAGTGTTATAGAAGCTATTATGTTTTTGGAATATTTCCCTGTTTGCGGAGTTAAGGCTAATTCTATTTTCTATTGATGAGGGTAATTCGCCCTATCTGTTACCATGGTGATTTTGATTTCAATTTTTAAAACAAGTAAATTTCAGATATACGTTATTCCAACAAAAATTTCGCTTGAAGATGGAACGGAGCCCTTTTTAATTTCAACTCAATTTAATTTAAAGGATTATATTGAAGTTTTCGGCTCTTGTTTTGAAACATGAGATCTCTTATGTAGCGATTTGGAATCATATTTTTAAATAAATAATTATATATATATGTCTACGTTTCTGAGATGAGGTATTATGTACATTATTTACATTATTCGGACTATTGTCCTCATCTTTGTCGCCATATTTATTACAACGTTTCGGCCGTTGTACGCTCCGGCCTTCTTCAGGACTCGAAGACACATGGCACAGTGGATAAAGGCGTAGGTTAGATCCAGTGACAGGGCCCAAAGCGTGGGAGTTTAATACCCGGTTAAGGCAGTGGAGAACTTTCAGAGGGAAATTAACAGGAGATAACTGATAACTGATATCCATTAAACGTGGAACTAGAACACTCTACCCCAGTGAGCGAAGTAAATGGTTCAGTTCGACATTCCAACCATCTGAAGAAGGCCCTAGCGTACAACGGCCGAAACGTTGTAATGAATATGGCGACAAAGATGAGGACAATAGTCCGAATAATGTAAAAATATATATATATATATATATATATTAATCAGCTGCTGACTTTCGTTTATTAGACAGTATCAACTCCATATTCATGAACTTGCCTGACTTTGCCAGTAGCTTGATGAATATTTATGAGCATTCCTATGCCTAAAATCTATGAAAAACCAATACAGTTTTTGCTTTTGTATATAAATGCTTGTTACAAAATAATATCCTAATTCTTACCTTGATAAATTCTCTCAGTGGAGGAAAGACGTCGGCTAAGATAAGTTTTCCTTTTATCTTTATTTATATTGTTCTTTAACAGATATACTCTATCTGAAACTTTTACACACATACACACACACACACATATATATATATATATATATATTTATATCTGTATATAAATTGTTCTACTTGAACGTGCCATGCCTCTTCCGGATGTCTCAGTTACCTCCCTCTAACTCAACTCTCCAATTTTTTGTTCACCATTGCCGTACCCAGGTATTGAACCCACAACTCTTTGGGTCAAGTCACTGGATTCAACCAACACTTTTATCCACTTCGGAAGGCCGGAGCATATAACGGCCGAAACGTTGTGAATAAGGCGATAAAGATGAGGATAACATTCAGTCGTTCAATAGTTACAATACCTGATCTCAGAAATATAGAGATCTGGATTCAATTTATTGATATGCGTATGTGTTTTAAAATAAAATTTGCATGTTCCCAGTTTTCAATGAAAACACTCTAAATTTTTTTCGTTTTTTTCTTGAATTCATTACTAGCTATGTATAAGAGTTATCTCCCTTGTCATCCATTTGACAAATAAAGATTTAGCCTCGTATATTTCAAGTATTGACAGTTTTTTCCTACGTTTTATTCACGTACAAATGGCGAGCGATATATATTGCTAAGTTTCTTCAAATAGAAACTTACAAGAGAAAGAAAAAGATTTAACGTAGATAAGTAAGTAAAAGATACATAAAAACGAGAAAAAATTTATATCGAAAAACTCTTCCATCTTTACTGGCAGAAAAGAAAAAAAAAACACGTTTTTCTTTCTTGCCTTATCTACACGTCAATGACGACTGACAATATAAAAATGTCAGCTTATAAAATTTATTTTAAGGAAAAGCTAAAAGTAAATTGTGCATTCATTAATAATTTCTAACTTTGTTTTCTTCTGCAAACAAATTCCCAAACAAAAAGATGTTATTTTATTAGAATGGGTTGGTTGGGGAAGCAAAAGCACATGGAATCAAGGTTGGAAAAGGTCAATATCTTTCGTTTCTACAGAAAGAAATTTCTTCCCTATTTACATTGTATGTTTTTCTAGGTATTTTTAGAAGTTTCTCTTTTTATGGCTAAAAGTATTTTTCTTTGAAACTTTACTTTTAGAATTACTCTCTTGTTTCTACACATGGAAAATAACCTGAGACGTTTTCGAACATAAGCGTTGAATTTAGGGTTGTGATTAATTTAAACTGTCAAATACATGGGAGAGATTTGAGTACACAATTGTGTGCATTAACATTTCCAACAATAGGACGGAAATTACTCCACTATCAGTTATGGCAATATCAAATGTAGAGACGTTAAAGAAGCGAAGCTGTGGAGAGCCACGATCACCTAACTCTTGAAGGGACATAAAACAAAATTATTTATGATACTCTGTTAATCTTGTATCAGGTTATAACGTAAGTTCTGTCCGATTTTGCTATAACAAGTAAAAAAAAAAAACAATTTTTATTTCATCATCAATCAAGTAACTAGTTTTTCATCTGTAAACAAACTTTTTATTTAATTTCACATCACGTAGGATTAATGGATAGTGGGTAGGATCGAGGAATCGGAGTGCCGAGTTCGAATTTCACTCGAGTTTGTTACATTTACTTACATGCAAATATTCGTTGGAAAAGGCATGAATCCGTTTCCTCCCCGCTATCACTAAATAGCGAGGGCAGATTTAGTCGTATCGCCATGTGGCAACCGGTCTAGAAAAAGGAAAATTCTGAATTAAAAACCTCCAATTATGGGTCAAATAGTGGGACAGTCTGGGTTCTGTAGTCTTGGCTGACACAACACTGAATTCAAAAACTTATATAACATTGGCGAAGGACATACTAGCATGTAAGGTAAGAATCAGGGATTTTTTATTGACTCAATGATCCCGAATACTGTCAACCTCCATCCAGATATAAAATGATTTAGGATTTGACCTGAAATAACTAATTTTTGACATCTTCTCTAGATGTTCTCAAAATCCGTTTAAATATATTTGCAAATTTTTAAATAGACTATAATCGTATGAAATGATTTTCGAGGAATATGGTGAAACAGTTTTTCCCAACCGAGTTCTTCCATACATTTGAGGTTGTGCGTTTTCATAGTGAATAATGACCCATTTTCTGTTTGTTTCAATGAACGTCTTTTTTGTTCAAAGCTACAATTAAACGCTTTAATCATTGCCAGCAAAATTTGACTTTGATTAATTGAACATTGTCTAAAAGCAAAACATCATCGTCTTGCATATCCCACTATAAAAACAAAAGAATCATTCTAGGTTGTAATCTCTCACTTGACGGATTCGCAGGCTTCTACCACGTGTAAACCATTAGACCCCTTAGCCTGTGTTAAAGATATACTTCTCGTCGCTGTTAGTGCGTTTAAAGGCACTTCAAGTCGAGAGGATGCAACAGAGCACAGTAAAAGAGAGATTGTTCACTATTTTCGGCTCAGTGGTGACGTGGGACATATTCTATAAAATGAGACACTTTCCCAACTTGTGATTTCTCGATGAGTACTCAACGTTGATGAACATGCAGGATACGAATCGAAGACAGACATAAAGTTTCGTGATAATTTGCTCCTTAGAGTCCAGAGAAAAATAAATGGTTTTCATATTGCCATCCGTTAAATTATATTTTACTTATATAAGAAGTTGTTATCTCTCTCTATATACAGCTAGCTAAGCTAGCTAGTAAGCTATGTATCTATCTTCAGCAGTTTATTCCAAACTTTCTCCCTTTCTAAATTTATTCACATCTCTCTCTCTCACTTTCTTTCTCTATTTCTTTCTTTCTTTCTCGCTCTGTTCAAATTTTTCTACCTTTCTAAGACATCTCTCTCTGTATCTCATCATGCATCTATCTATCTATTTCTCTCTCTCTCTCTCTCTCTCTCTATATATATATATATATATATATATATATGCCAGCCTGTTAATATCTCTGTTTGTCCCTCTATCTCTCATCCTGTTTATGACTGTCTGTTTACCCGACAGTGCCTTCTATCGCTGTACCTATCTATCTATCTATCTATCTATGCACTTGAAGCTGACAGGAATGCAATGATGCACAATAAGAGGCAGATTGTTCCCTATTCTCGTCTGAGGGGTGAAGTGGGACGTACTTTACAAAACGAGACACTTTTCCAAGCATTGTCATTAAATCAATTGGAGTTATTGAAAGTCTTGTCGAAAATATTCCGTCCAAAAGTCGGACAGTACCTAATGTGAGCATTTTTTATGGAATATGTAATATAAACATGCATCATATATATAAATATATTGCAATTGTAAATAATTATCTGGTGAAATAGGAGGAGGGACTAGAAAGTTACATTATAATCAATATGTGCATATCTATCTATCTATCTATCTATCTGTTTGTTCTGTTCATATCTATCTATCTATCTATCTATCGCAGTTTGTTCTGTTCATATCTATCTATCTATCTATCTATCACAATCTCTTCATATCTATCTTAGCTTTTTCTTATCTTTCCATCTCAACCTATTTACTTCCATCAAACAAATGCTTCCTAAGTCTGTTCATATCTATCTCAATATATTCATATCTATCTATCTATCTATCTATCTATCTATCTATCTATCTATCTATCTATCTATCTATCTGCGATGTTGTTCGTGATGATGCTGTATCAAAAAATGAAAATTTTAGGATACTTATAGAAGACAGACTGAAGGTTTCGTAATGATTCGCTTGTCAGTGTCCAGGGAAGAAAACGTCTTTCACCTTGGCATACGTTAAATTATATCATTCTCTGTATATGAGTTGGTGGTGTTATCTATCTATCTATCTATCTATCTATGCACTTGAAGCTGACAGGAATGCAATGATGCGCAATAAGAGGCAGATTGTTCTCTATTCTCGGCTGAGGGGTGAAGTGAGACGTACTTTACAAAATGAGACACTTTTCCAAGCCTTGTCATTTTTCGATGAGTAGTCAACGTTTGAAATGCCCGTTGAGCTTTGTAACTCTAAGTGTTGGATTAGCATCAACTGCTGCTTCGCGTGCGTCAGAATATCAAGTCGTCGTAGGTGACCTTTGCTTAGCTGATTCTTCACAATCAGTTTCCTTTCTCTGAAACAGAAAAAAAAAATCTGCTACATGTTCATTTACACAATCTATCATCATCATCATCATCATATGTGCTTTTGCTGAATCTTGCTGTGAAAATATTCATTCTGTGAATCTTACAATAGAGAATGATATAAATGACGTATTCTTTATTTGGAGCAAACGTGAAGTCGATTTGAAAGTTTCTCTTTAAATAATTTCTTCAGAATCTGAAAGAAAATTATCAAATATTAACCATGTAGATACTGACAAAAATCAGTTCGAAATTGGAGTTCCTGAAAGTTTTAGTGTGTTGCTTCTTCTATAATTAATGTATAAGTTTTCTTATGAGAATATTTTAGAATACCTGAAATAATGGAGGTGAAAATATACCTGCACAAAAGATTGATTTGCAGTACTAAATAACATTAATTAAGCAAATTAACAAAAGGAAAGTTTTAAAGTTACTTTTCCTAGAAATAAATTGCATAAACAACAAAAATTGTTAATGAATGCCTTTGAGTGTGACTTGTCTGTCTAGGTGTGTTTGTGTGTCAAGTGCCACAGCCCTTTTTTCTTCTGTGTGAAAAGTCGATGGGACACATTTCGAAAGAAGAAAAACAGGAAAAGATAGTTACGTAAGGGGTTGCTTGTTTATATACATCCAGGACTGTTGCTGATATTATGTTTATTAAGGTACTACAAAGTATTGTTGAAAATATTTCGTAGATAATCATCACAAATTCCGTTACAACTTTATCGAATTCTATATAATAATATATAAAGATGTTTTACTCGTTACAAGATGAATTACATCACATGTCCTTAAAAAGATATACAGTTTAACAAGTGGTGATTCTAGTCTCTCTATTCTTTCATCATATACATGTAAACGGAAAGAAGTTCAAGTTGGTGAAGGGAAAGTTTTACAGGGGCTCACTAGAATTCAATATACAAAAAGTATTAGTTTAAAAGTATTAATATATATATATATATATATATATATATATATATATATATATATATATATATATATATATAAAAATGAATAAAAGAACAGTAAGATATATAATCCGATGTTCTTATAGATATTTTTATTTTTACAAAATAGTGCTCAATGTAAATTTACAGAGCATAATATTATAAATTTATTGATTTAAAATATGTTTTTTCCGCTACACAGTTCTAACCATGTTTCAAAAATAGAAGCTAAAAGCCCCGAATTTAATTTTGCAATTAAATTAAAAGCATTAGTTCCATTTCATTCTCAAGCGAATTTTGGAGTAACTTTTAAAAATTACCGGGTTTTAAAGACACAGCTAAAATCACGTTTCCATGGTTACAGAATATTCTACTTGAATTGGACAAGGAATGTCTAGATTTTATGTCACTATCATTGTATCAGTTATTAGCTACAATTTGGTAAGGGGTAGGGATGTATTTTTCAATGAAAACTGACATCCGTTCAATGCATGTCGTCTGGATTTTTAAAAATATTGTTAACGGTAAAAAAAATTCTTACGGCATTTTTTTTTCTATTTATAAATTTAAAGATTTTCGGGGGTGTTCAGATCATAATACTTTTTATTTAACTACGATTTGAAATATTCTCATTTTTAATTTTTATTATACTATATTCTTTTTAAGAACAGTTAAATGTATTAGACTCCATTATAATATGTAGGATTATTTTAACATCAAGTTTAAGTATGTATATGAGGTTACAGTTTTTTTGTTTTTTTTTATTAAAAAATTTTTGACTGACGGCAAAAATGGTTACTTAATTTCACTGATTTAGTAAACTTTTATTTTATATATAAACCTAGTAATATATTGTTTCTCATGTAAGTACAAAGGACATGGGTCATTCAAAAGCTTACATCTTATGGCATTTTCTATTAATTTTATTTTTATTTTATTTTACTATAGGTATTTTTATTGGATTCTTTTAAGTGCGTGTAGTACTAATTAAAAGAAGTTTAGGTTAGAATTCATTTTATTTAACTACAATTTTATTTACAATTTTAAAATTACAACTTTAAAATTTTAAAATATTTTCATTGTTAGTTTTAATAGACTATATTACTTTATAACAGAAGGAAAATTACTCGTAGTAAGTAAAATTATTTTTCCATATGTAAATTACGATTTTTAAACTTTTATAATTAAGTATTATTTAAGTAATATTTATGGCACTTACTACACAACTAGCTAAGTCATTTCTCAGATTTAGTAAACTTTATTTATTAATTAATTTATTTATTTTAAATATATATAACCTAAGTACTAAAGTTTCATATGTATGTACAAAGGACATGGGTCGTACACAACCCTACATCATCTAGCTTTAGTTATAATTTCATTTTTCAGTAGGTGTTTTATTGGATTCATTTAAGTGCCTGTAGTCCTTTTAGTTTAGAGGTGTTTCGGTTAGCATACATTTTATTTAACTACAATTTTTTTAAAAAGATGCTTAGGTTTGAATTCGTTTTAACTACAATTTTAAATTTTTAAATTTTAAATATAAGTTTAAAATATTTTCACTGTTACTCCAATAGACTTTTTTTTTTTTTTTTTTTAATATTATTTAAGGAAAATTTTTGACAATGACGGCATATAATAGCTATTTCATTTCTCTGATTCAGTAAATTTTTATTTTTTATAAACTTAGTAATATATAGTTTCTCTTGTATGCATAGAGGACACGGGTCGTTTAATGACCTACAGATTCTAGCTTTTCTTATTAACTTCCATTTTACTGTAGGTGTTTTATTTGATTCTTTTAGATGCCAGAAATATTTTGAGAGAGATGTTTGATTTTTATATGTATTTATTCTAAATGAAGTTTGATGTTGGTTGAATCGTTTTTTGAATTCATGGCTAGTGCAACCTATATATATTTTTATGTTATCAGGACTTTCAATCGAAGAGATATTGCATTGGTATACTAATGATTCAGTGCGACATTTATTTTGTAGTGGGCAATTTTGAGGGTTTCTACAGTTACATAGTTTTTGTTTATTTCCATCAGTTTTTATCTGAATTTTTCCATTGTCTAAACTTTTTAAGTTTTTTGTACAGCTGTAACTCAATTTTAGTGTTTTTTTTATTGAAAATAGTACTTAGTTTACTTTCACTAGGAAAATGCTTAGAAAAAATATTTTAAACTTATATTTAAAATTAAAAATTTAAAATTATAAAATCTAGACATCCCTTGTCCAATTCAAGTAGAATATTCTGTAACCATGGAAACGTGATTTTAGCTGTTTCTTTAAAACCCAGTAATTTTTAAAAGTTACTCCAAAATTCGCTTGAGGATGAAATGGAACTAATGCTTTTAATTTAATTGCAAAATTAAATTCGGGGCTTTTAGCTTCTATTTTTGAAACATGGTTAGAACTGTGTAGCGGAAAAAACCATATTTTAAATCAATTAATTTATATATATATATATATATATATATATATATATATATATATATATATATATATATATATATAGTCTAGTATTTTCTAAATTGGATGTATATTTATTAATCTCGTTTATTCAATCCCATTTAGATTCCTGTCAGTTTTCCTCAAATCAAATCAATCCTCAATTTAAAGATTCATCTTTAATGTGCTTTCTATCGAATGAGGAATGGTAGTGATTTGATTGATGACATGTATTATTGAGACAATGCTTATGACCATACGCTTGCCTATTTGAGTTTCAAATATTAAATATAATCATGATAAAGAATCGATAACCAATTTTCTAATTCAAATGCACAATATACTTTCTTCATTCTGGAGAACAACAAAGTAAAGTGGTGTTTCTCAACACTTTCAGTTGGAATGTTTTTGTCGCTATTGTAGACAGACAACGAATATAATTGGAATATTCTGAAATAAACAGCTCCGATAAAGCGAATGGGCGAAGGATAAACTGAAGACAAAGTGTGACTTTCCAAAAAGGAAATTTTACCAAACTAGCATCATTTCAAACTATGGCAGAGAGCGAAAATATAGATAAAATAGTGAAAATGAATTGGTTAACCTCTTTTTAAGATGAAAGTCTTAAATATAAATAAAACATTTGCAAATATTGCATTAGACATTGTCCCTGGATATACTTTTCATAAAAAATTACAAAACATAATTATAATGTATTAAATTTCTTCGTTAACGTTTTGTAGTCTCTTATTTATATAATTGCAACTTCATCCACGAATTAAAATATTACGCCTACCTCTCTACTACCGGTTTGTGAGTTATTTGGTGTTATTCGTTTTTGCAACATATCGCAATAACAACAAAAATGCCTGGAACTAGTGAATACTAGGTGATCATCAGTCTAAACAGGGTACCTTGGTCTCGAGCTTGCAGAGAATGTTAGACTTCAAAACCTAGTCTCTATATTTTCCTGTTTTTGAATACCTTAATCATAGACAGTATATCACAAAGGGTAGCGGAGTAGGTAGCAAATAATATTGGTGATATGTCAATACCTCTGCTATATTTGTTATCTACTTGCGTTTTCTGTTTTTTTTTTTATCACTTTTGTTTGATTGTCCAGTACTGCTCGAATCTAACTCGGGTGGGCGTATATATAAGGAATAGTTTCCTTTCAAGTGTCAGGTTACAACCTGATTTGTGTAAGGGTATAATAACAGAAAAGGGTTCCGATGATCTCTCTCTCTCTCTCTCTCTTTCCTGTCGACCAAATTACTAATATAATATACAATCTTAAGCATCAAATTGTGAACTGCTTTTAAAAAAAAAGTCACTACCAATTTTAAATATAGACCGATTCAGTTGAATTTTATTTTTCTACTAAGAAGCAAAGTAATATAAAAAAATATGTTCCATGTTTCACACGATACTACTAGTTAATTCACTAGTTCAAACGCAGACAGTTTCAGATACTAATTCGTTTTCTTGTGATTTCTTGAAATCTACCCTGAAAAATGCAGGGTATATCTGACTGTACTTGTAGTATACTAGTATATTTCAAATTACCTAGGCACTCTATCTAGGATTTTTACATTATCTTCAAGTAATTCCGATTCTAACAGGCACTAAATGCTTGTTAAATCAACACCAGTACTGCTAAATTCCCCATCAGTTGATTGTAAATTATACTAATTTGTTAATTATGAACCCTTTAATTATCCTTCCAGACATTAAATATAAATTACTTAGTGGTTAAACTATACCAACAACTTTACTAATATCGTCCTGCAACCACTTTTATTTTACCCTAATTGGTAATTTCCTATCTTATAAATTCTCATTCCAACAGGCTATATATTAACTTTCTTGTAAAATTTCAACCAGTAACTTTGTTACATTCTTCTCTAAGCCCCTTCTAATTTGCCCTAATTGTTAATATAGAGGTATTCATTCAAACCGGCCAGCGATAATAAATTCGCTTACTGGTAAAATCTATACTAGTAATTCGGTTACATTCGTTCTTCAAACCTTTGTACTTCATACTTCATGGTTAATCACGTTCTTGTTCCAACCATTCATCAATCACGTAGATTCACGTACTAGTAAAATCCACGCCAGTAATTCTATTACATCTCAAATATCAATGACTAAGACTTAAAAGTTGTTATTTACTTGAACATTTTAGAAATTCAGGTCAGTTTATTTCGGGAAAAGTTTCAAACCCGAATAATTATTTTTCCCTTTTCCGACTTATATACATCACAAATTTGTCCCAATATTGATTTATATCTTCTGAGTTTTCAGATCAACTTAATTTCTGAAAGCAACAGATGCCTTCGTAGTGTCATTAAAAGTCGATTTGGGGCGAACAAAAATAGAATAAAAACAGGAAATGGCAAGATTTAGTTTGCTTCAGACAAGTTAAATTAGAACATTTCTTGCATTTTGAAAAGCTAGATTAAATTTGAAACCAAGAAATTTAAATACGGTTGGCAGCTTACAAAAAAAAAACTAAAACAAAAATGTTTTTTATCAGCATCTTTCATATCTTTTCTTAGTTTTCTAACATTATTGGCCATTTCAGTTACTACTTTCTTAATTTGATTCATTGAAATCCTTTCTCAGAAATTATATTTTATTTTATTGTTTTTCATGCTTTTTTTCTATTGTTTTATTACAGCCGGAATTGGGGACTTTTGGATATTTTAAGGCGACTGATAAAAAAGTAATTGTGTATATTCCGTGTTGAGAAAACAAAACGATTTATAAATAAACCAAAAAACGGGAACAATGCAGTTACAAGTGCAACAAATGAAAAGAAAATCGACTTAGCAATGGATAAAAATAGAATAGCGGTCAAGGAAAAGAAAAAAAAGATGGAAGGAAAAATAACAAGAGAGAGAAACAAAAAATAATGTAATTAGAGTAAGAGATAGGAGATAGTAAATTAGACTTGATATTGATTAGAAAAAAGGGGATGATTTTTTTTAAACTTTAAAATGGCAATATACATATAAGTAAATAAACACCGAAAAAAAAGAAACGTTGTCATATAAAAATAAAGAAAATAAAAATTTCATACGATACAAATAAAAGAAAGGGCGTACGAGAGGAAGAAGAAAGCAACATGAGCAATGCATTGGCAATAAAGTGTCAATGAATTAATGAAAATAAACGAAAGAAAGAAAGAAACGCCATGACAGAACAAAAGTAAAAAGTAGTTAAATCGAGAAAAAGACATAACAAGCAACAACAAAAATGAAATCCAAGAAGCAAGGGAATAAATCACTGAAAAAAGAGGGTAGAACAGAACAAAAGCAACACAAATACTGCACATTGGAAAGAAAGAAAGAAAGAAAGAAAAAAAGAACGAACGAACAAACGAAAGAAAGAGGGAAAGAAAGAAAGAACGAACAAACGAAAGAAAGAGAGAAAGAAATAAATAAAGAAAGAAAGAACGAACTAACGAAAGAAAGAAAGAAAGAGAGAAAGAACGGAAGAAATAAAGAACGAACGAACGAACGAAAGAAAGAAAAGAAAAAAGAGCGAAAGAAAGAAAGAATGTAATACGATAAAAAGATATCTCATGCAATGTCTAAAACTAGATGTAAGTAGAGGCAATTGACAAAATCACGGAACAAATCTTGTCAGATATAAGAAGAAACAAGAAGACGAATCAGCAAGACAAAGAAAGAAAGAAAGAAATTAAGAAAAGAAAAACGGAATGCAGTAAATATATAGCAAGAAATGATGACAAAGAAACATGAGAATAAATACAGTCCAACCTTTCTCTTACAGGCTGTCACTGTACTGTCAATATTACCAAGGAAAATTCTCGAACGGACTGCATCCTCTGGTTCTACTAGGTCTGACCTTCAGGGCTTGAACCTGCCATACCACTTACATTGTTACAAACAACCCACATTCGCTCGAGTATTACATCGGCGAGAAGTAAGTTCCACTCAAACAGCTTCTTCTCGCGAACCATAGTCCTATGGAAATGACCTCCGAAAGGATGTTTCCCCCGATAACTGTAATCTTAACCTGTTCAATCATCATCTTCCCCTCCTATTCAAATAAACTACCCCTTGAAGTAAAAAAGAGAAAATCGTTGAAAAAGATTTTGTTAATAAAAAAAAAAGAAGGCAAGCGTAAGACGGTATATGAAAGAAAAAGAGAAATAAATAAATCACTCTTAGGAGCCAAACAGAATAACAATTGCATACAAAACAGGTATATCAACAAACGGTAACAAAGCTGAAAAAGAAGGAAAGAAAACTAAATTAAAAGGAAATCGATTTAGAAAGGGAGAAAAAGTAGAATAGCGATCAAGAAAATGAAAAAGAAATGGAAGGGAAAACAAAACGAGAGACAGAAAAAAATTGGAAAGAAAATTTAGAAAATGGCGAAGAAAGAAAGAAAAGCAATGAATGAAGAAATTTTGAAAATGAAATAAGAAAGACAAAAACAAGAAGAAACAATATAAACAATGATTCGGAGCCAACGAGAAGGCGGCAAAAGCAGACGACAGCAGCTAAACAAAAATACGTTGGTAAAGTGACGTAAGGGAAGCTATTTTTATACTCCATTTTCCCGTTGCAATCAAGTCGCAATTCCCATTTTTCTAAATTCATACAGAGAAGGAATTTTCCACCTTAAATTACTTTTTTTTTATATCTGAAATAGGCGTTTCTAAAAATAATTTTGTCCGTTTTAATGGCTATAAACAAAAGGATGAAGAAAAGAGTGGCGAGATAAAAAGAGGTGGACACTTTTGGAAACATAATTCTTCCACACAAGCACACACGCAAAAAACTCATTAACACAGAAAACATATACATAACGTCACAAAGTACATACACTCACTCACAAATTCATAAACATATATATATATCTAGTGTTTTAAACGTGATATTTAATTGAAGAGAGTATTCAATGCCGCGAACAAACCTTTCTAGATGTCTGGATATCAACCCTTTATGGGGACTTTCATTTTCACTCTTTAATACATCATCAGGTCATCTGTTACTATTCTTTGTGCGGGCTGTATTTATTTTTTTTTTAATATTTTGTCTTTAGGGATAATGCTTTAGCTTATTTAGAGTTTAACTGTGAACAATTTTTCATTGTTAATTCACCCAATACAATGTTCAGTGCTGTCCTGGGTCTGACGATAAACTACATCCTGTATCCAGGCCTTTGATCAGGAAATTGGAATTCTAAGGAGCGTAGAACCACGTTTTAATTGCTGTTGTTCCCAGGTCTACCCTGATTAGGGGTGGTAGCATCTGTTACAATCCCAACTATGGGCAAATAGTTATCTGCCACATTGGGGTCAAAACACTATGAAAGTATAAAAATACATTTTTATAGTAAAAATACGAGCTATGTATTTTCATAGTAAAAAATGACCAGTAGTATATTTATGTAAAAATAAAATTAAAAAAAAATAAAATTAAAAGAAGGTATCTATTAGTGTAAAAGAAATTAATGCTCCCCACAAAATAAATTTCTTTAGTAATAAATGAGTTGATATGCTGCTAAACAAACTATACAATATAAACACCATTTTTGTTCGACGATTTTCTACATGTTTGATTATTTTATAATTCTCTAATATGAAACGTTGTTATCGTTCGAAACAAAGAAATCATTTCATTTTTTATATATGTTTTCTTTAGACCAAAAGTGGATTATTGTTGATATATCTGAGCGGAGCTTACTAAATTCTCACTTTCCAGCCTTGATAAGTATAGCGGATGGTCTATTTTCCACTCGACAACCTCTTCCACGCAGACACAACGCCGCAAGCCTGTTGGTATTCTATCGCTATTTCCATGGCTAATGTTCGGATGAGCTCCATTTTCTAATTTCACCAATTCTGATCTCTTCTGCTGCGTTACTTCCACAGAATCGAATCACCGATATATTTTCATATTCCAAATGTAAAAAGAAACTTCCACTCAGTTTTTGCCAACTACCACCTTTCAAAAGATAACGATTGGTATTGCATTTACATGTTTGACGATCAAACTTGACTGGAAACCAACAAACAAAAAGAATATTCCAAAAGCGAGAGAAGAAACTGTTAACATCGAACTTACGCTATATAGAGCCATTATGGCGATTTTCTATGCGTAGCTTAGATGTGGTACCATGCCGAATATATTGGCGACGCGGTGAGGATCGAATTCACTATCCAGTTGTAATTTATTTAGCGAGACAAACTTGCTAACCATTAGATCTCGTCGAAGTGCTCAAATTATTTTCTATGCGTAGCTTAGATGTGGCACAAGGCCAAAATTATGGGACACCCAATAAATATCGAATTCACTATTCAGTCGCAACTGATTTAGCGAGACATCCCTGCTAACCATTACACCACGTCGAAGTGTCCCACGGTGTTTTTTCTAAACATATGAATAGGTCACCCAATGAGAAGTGAAACACGTATGAGTGCTTTCCTGGACACTTTTGAATGCTTCAAGACTAAATTGATTCGCATTCATCAGTAAAATTTTGTGGGCATGCCTCTATCGTTACTGACTTTTGAGCCTTGTATTGGGTGAAATTTAGTTAAAAAACGTAATCATTAAAATCTTCCCGGGATATGCAACGTTTTTTTTTTATTGAATGATAATATGACGATAATATGATAATACAATATCGGCTAAATACGTCAGAAGACTGAACCCCCCGCCAACTAAACTGTAATATCTTTTGTCTGCTCACCAAATAAACAGCATTAAAGCCAGCATTATCCTAATGGATTATTACATCATCTCGATTAACTAATTCCAGACGTCTTATAATCGAATACAAATAATATATAGTTATCATTGTTTTCTCTCTTCAAATAACCCACATGACAAAAATAAAAAACACTCTCTTGGTATTTTGTACACTGTTTTCGATATATTTTTATATTCAGTATTGAAAAACGCTTCTTCGTCAACTGGCGGAAAGGCAAGATGATTAATCATTACTACTGAGTAGTGAGTTTAATGCTCACTGAGTGCCCCGTACTTTTAGGTTTGTGTTTAATTATGCTTCGAAATTAATATGAATCTCAAAAAATACAATATTATACTAACTTCATAAGAGCGTCAATACCTTGTTCAGATATTCCTTAATTGTGCCATCACGATGTATTCCTTTAGTAAGAAAGGGGTTCTACTCAGAAAGCTGCGTTTCAAAACCCACTACTTTGTGGAACACACTCCCACGAAGATGTTTCCCCGAACACTATGAAATTCACTTGTTTATGTCTAGGATAAATCGTTATTTATCTACAATATTCTCCTAATCTCCGCTTCCTGCTTTCTCTCCTTACGTTCATATAACACCACTATGTTTAATAACTCTCTAATATGAATGATGCTTTGGGCTTGTATTGGGTGAACTTTAGTAAGAAAACTTTTGACTTTTACCATTCCTCTTGTTCCTTGTTCAAACATACACCTCCCTGCTTCTGTTACCGTCAGTATGTCCAGTGTCTGTTAGATTCTCCAGGCCCTCTTTATTCGTTACGTTTCCTAGAAATTTCTAATTGTTTTATTCTGGTTTATATTTTTCTTAAAAATGTCTCATTGGTCAAATTATCAGTTCATGGATTGTTCACTGGTTGATCCCCATTTATATTACTTCAAATATATTCTTCATCAGTGAAGAGACTGTTCTAGTTTCATTAACATATATAAGATATTATATAAAAGTTCTATACTAATATTTCTCGTCTCAAAAAAAACAAAACAAAAGAAGAATAAAACTATTTCCGGCAATACATTTTTCAAAAAATTTTTACCAGTTATACATTTTCGAGGAAAAAATATTACCATCAATACTTTTTACAAAAAAAAAAAGAAAAATTATTACCAGCAATACATTTTTGAAAAAAAATATTACCAGCAATACATTTTTGAAAAAAAATATTACCAGCAATACATTTTAGAAGGAAAAATATTACCAGAAATAGATTTCTGAAGGAAAAATATTACCAGAAATAGATTTTTGACAAAACAAAATATTACCAGAAAAAAATGTCGTTATTAAATATCTCATTTGTGGTTGATATGCCATAAAATAAAACTTCTAGAGTGTGTGACAAAAAATATCTCCCAAATATGCCTACTCGAAATACCTCCCACATAATAGTATGACACTAATAGCAATGGCGTCTTCATCTAGATAATGTCTTACCATTCTGTGTATTTGGGGGGGGATAATTCTAGGAGGTATTTCTACCGCACTCGGTATAAGTAAAATTTATTTAAATACTATTTATTCACCTTCATTTTCAACGACTGCAGCACAATTTGCCTGTGACTTTCCTAGAAAAAAATTGAAAGACTGTTTTCAACTATTTGTTTCTGAATACTTTCCTAATTCTACTGATCGAAAACAAATGAAAGTGGGTAAGCAAGTAGAATGTAGAGGGAAAATCCAATTTTAACGTTCCTCATTTTTGTTTCGCAGACTTTATTTTCTCGCAATTCTCACTTGCACAGTGTTGTTCGATAAAAGTGAATCACCTGATTTTTTATACTAAAAATATTTTTGTCCATTTTTTGGGGGTTAAAATAATTTTTAATCTTACTAATTGACTCATAATTACTTTCCAAATAACTTAATAATTTGAATAATTTTGAAAAGTTTATCGCCATATTTACATACTTGTTCAAATTTTCGACCCCCTTCCTTTTCTATTACTATGTTACTGTTGTGACCTAGGGAAGAATACTGAATAGAATAATCACACGAAGGTTGGTAATGAATGATAATATTTAAGACAAGAACGACGCATATAAGATTCGCCAGCGGCGCGTAGAAGAAGTAGTCAACTGCTAGAAGTGAGTCAAGTGAATTCCGTAATGAATCTCCAACTCCAGGATATATAAGAACCGGCCCACGCGGTCAGATGTGGCACAAGGCCGAATTTAATGTGGTGTATCCGAGCCCGTAGGATCGGCTAAAAATTCCTAGTAGACACCGTATAAAACGGGGTCGGCTAGCTGTTTCCTAAGACGAGACTCTACCCTTCGACATAGCCTCGCTTGGAGATCCTCTCTGCCCGAAGCTAGTGAGCTTGACTATCACAACTGGTGATGAATCTCCGACTGCAGACCAACATACAGTATTTACTACTGAATTTATGTGAATGAGGACATGCACATTATCGTCCGTAGAATTACCTAGATGGGTATATCGATGAGCAGTAATGGTTAGCAAGAGTTCCTGCTAGATGAGCTTCGACTCAGCAAAGAATTTGGTCCTTAATGGATAGCCCATATTTGCGTTCTTGTGCCACATTTAGGCTACGCTCAGTAAATTACTACTACATTACCCAGTTAGTTAAATTTCTATTTCAAGAATTGATTGGAATCCAGGTGATATAGAATTTTTTGAAGGTGTTTAATGAATTTTAGACTGCATTGGGTTTCACTGATATTAATATCTCGATCGTGATGTCTTGGGAATACCAGGTGCTATAAGCTTGAATTTCTCGGGCGGTGTAATGGGTAATCACTCAGAATTTTTAATTGGAGTGCCGAGTACCAATTTCGGTAGGGTTTGTTATATTCACTTACGTTCAAATAATCTTTGGAATGGTACGAATCCACCTCTTTTCTCTATATAGCTATGGGTTAATTAGTAAAACTTGTACCACTAAACCATTAATATCTCCAAATATTGTGTACAAGATATTTAGATTTCGGCATTAAATAATTCATAGAGGTGTTGATATACCGCTAAACAAAACCAACTAACCCAAACCGAAATTAAA